ACAAGGGTGCCCCACCTCCTGGGTGGGCCTGGTCTCTAGACGCTTCCGTTGGGCAGCCCTGGGCCAAAGGAGCTCCGTTTCTAGCTGGTGCTAGGAGGGGATGCAGCTGCTCCAGGTCCCCTGCCAGCCCTGGGACACCCTTGCCCTCCTGCCCCCCAGATGCTGAGGCTGCCAAAGGGTCAGGCGTGAAGGCAGGTCCTCCGCCAGCCCCTCCCTCCTTGGATCTCACCCACCTTCCTGCTCCTTTCCCCATCCGGGGTCCTTTGTCTCCGTCTCATTGTTCCCAGCAAGCGTCTCTCCTGCCAGGAAGGGCCCCCCTTCCCCTCTTGGGTGTCTCGGGAACCTCCACACCTATCACAGGCTGCACTTATGGGTGGCCCCTTCGGTGGCCAGCAGGGGTCAGACTTTACCTGTGCTCTGGGGACCCCGGTGGCTCCCTTGGGCATTGCAGGGGAGGGGCTGAAATCCGGAGGGCTGCTGCTCTTTTATTTAAACTGATTTTTGTTCAATGTTGGGGTCCAGTGGGGGCCTGCATTGAGGAGGAGGAGGAGGAGGAGGAGGAGGGCAATGGCATAGTGGTCTGCTTAAAGGAGCAGCTCAGGGGCTGCCATCCTGGCCTTTGGGCAGAAATTCATCTTCCAATAACATTTCCTGTTCCGGGAACATCAGAGAAAAATGATGTTGAATTAAATGCATCGGAGACCCTTGCAGTCCGTACATGTTTTCCCCGTGATCCTATGGAAAGTTGTAGCCTTTGCACAGGCTCTTTGGGCCCCGGGAGAAGGTGGGGGTGAAGCCCGCCCTGGGGCTCTTTTGCCCAGGACCACCTCAGCTGCACCAACTGGCAACTCGGTGTGTGTGTGTGTGTGTGTGTGTGTGTGTGTGACTCCAGTCCTCCCCAGCCTGGAGCTGAGCAGCTGGAAAAAGGCTGAGCCCACAAAGAACCCAGAGGACAAGTCTTAGCAATCACCCGCAACACAACATTTCAAAGGCCATCCCGGAAAAGGACCTTCTTATGTAGAACAGGATAGAAGAGGAGAGAATAATGAACAGAATAGGCTAGAATAAGGAATTGGATGGGACCTTGGAGGTCTTCTAGTCCAGCCCCCTGTTCAATCAAGAGACCCTATGCCATTTCAGACCAATGGTGGTCCGGCCTCTTCTTAAAAACCTCCAGTGTTGGAGCACCCACAACTTCTAATGGTTCTCATCATTAGGAAATTCCCCCTGAATTCCAGGCTGCTTCTCTCCTTGATGAGTTTCCATCCGTTGCTTCTTCTCCTGCCCTCGGGGGCTTTGGAGACCCCCCCACCCTCTCTATTCACGCCTGTCACAGTTAGCAAAGGAAGAAGTGAACCTGGAACAGCCACCAAGGGTGGGATGGAACAGCCAGGCCCTACGCAACCCCCCTAACCAGATTTTTTGAAAAGGGGGTGGAGAGATAAAAGTGGTTGGGTTATTCATTCATTCGTTTATCAAACGCATCTCTTGTGCACCACATTCGGGCAGCTTAGAGGGAATTCAAACAGAGAATGGAAGCGTCCATGGTAGCTTCTAAAAATACCCCCACATGTCACAAGTAGAAATAAAAACCCCACCAAGAAACGAACAATAAACGGAGAATAAAAGCTAACGACATGGCATGAAAGGACACTCCCTGGAAGACAAGTTTTCAAAACTTCGGCCAGGATCTTTCACAGTGTGTGTGTGTGTGTGTGTGTGTGTGTGTGTACATGGGCGCTCTAACAGGAAAGCAGCGCCTGCCCACGTCAGATAACAGATTTAACAGATAATCAGACTTGGAAGGGACCTTATAGGTCATCTAGTCCAACCCCCCGCCCAAGCAGGAGACCCTACACCAGTTCTGACAAATGGCAGTCCAATCTCTTCTTAAAAGCCTCAGCCCCCTCCAGTTCCCCCGAATGTCCCCAGCTGTTTCTTCGTGTCCACCAACTCAGCCAGGCTGGTTCTGCAGGGATTTGGGCCCCAAACCAGCTTTACAGATCAAACTCTGCACCTGAAATCCCACCCAGGAACCCGGATTGGGTCTGCCCTCCAATGGCCAGGAGCCCAAAGAATTCCTGGCTAGTGGGCAGTTTGTACGCGGAGGACTCCGGGTGGGCACGGGGGAGGGTCCCAGGTGGCTCTGCTCAAGGGGGAACCATGGGGAGCCAGGCCCTCAGAGGAGGAGGGGGGGCTTCTCAGAGAACCTAGTGGCAGGAACCTAGGCGTGAAGCAGCCAGCAGAGACCCCCGACCAGTGGTGGGATTCGGCCAGTTTGCACCACTTCGGGAGAACCGGTTAAGTTTCTGAGCAGTTTGGCTACCCGGTTGGGCAACAGCAAGGCAGCTTGCTTGACGCAGCCACTTTCTGGGTGGGCAGAGCTGCTTCCGCCACACCCACCTATCAGGGCGCAACGTCTGCAACCCGCTCGACAATTCCTGGCTGAGGCAGCCGGAGGGAAGGAAAGCCGGGCGGTTTCCAGGCCAGGGCTGGTCTCCAGCTCTGCAGCTCCGGAGAGGGAGATTTCGGAGGCAGCCACTCGACACCTGCAGGCCTAGCTCTGCCTTTTCCACACCCCGGGAAGTGCCGCATCCTCCCTCTTACTCCCGTCGGGGAAAGAACCTGCTGAGGCCACGTTGGCTGGCAGCTGAAGGTGGCGAGTGCCCAGCTCCAGCGTTCAGGGGATGGAGACGCCAGACGAAAGGAAGACTCCTCCTCCCCTTATCCTCCAACAGCACCAGGAGGCGGGATAAGACGCCACGGATGGAAAGAGAAGCAGCCTCGAACGGAGGAGAAACTCCCTGACAGGGAGGACAATTAACCAGTGGAACAGCCTGCCACTAGAAGTTGTGGGTACCTCCGTCCCTGGAGGTTTTAAAGAAGAGACTGGACAGCTGCTTGTCTGGAATTGTACATGATCTGGTGGATTCCAAGGGGTTGGCCCAGGCAGGGGAGACCCTTGGGAAAGAGGAGGAAGAGGCCTTGGTGGGATGAAGGGCCTTCTGTGCCCAACACCTGGAGGGAGAGTCTGCCCATCATGGGAGGGAGTGCCGGGCGTGAAGGGTGGCAGGGCCTCTGCCCACACAGGCACCATCCCAGCCTGGGTGACTCAGGGGTTGATCCTTGCCAGCATTAGGGGAGGAACAAGGCGGGAGTTGGGCCCTGGTTCTGGGTTGAGTAAGACGGGAAACCTGCCCTTATTGGTGTGATAATGTAAATATTTTTTTTTGGGGGGGGGGAGCTCAATTAACCCAGGAAACCTGACAGGACAGCATGACTGGCTGGGGAATTCTGGAAGTTGAAATCCGTAAGTCTTAGGCATTAGACATCCTTGAGCTGTAACATTGTTCAAGGAAGGTCAGCCAATCAGCACCGTCCCCTTCTTTCCAGAATAGAAAATAGAATAGAATAGAATGGACCTTAAAGGTCTTCTAGTCCAGCCTCCTGCTCAAGCAGGAGAACCTATACTATTTCAGACAAGTGACTGTCCAGTCTCTTCTTAAAAACCTCCAGTGATGGAGCATTTCTAGTGGCAAGCAGTTCCACTGGTTCATTGTCCTCACTGGCAGGAAATTTCTCCTTAATTCCGGGTTGCTTCTCTCCTGGATGAGTTTCCATCCGTTGCTTCTTGTCCTGCCTTCTGGGGCTTTGGAGAATAAGTTGACCCCCCCTCTTCTTCTTTGGGGCAGCCCCTCAAATACTGGACTGCTGCTGCCATGTCACCCCTAATTCTTCTTTTCTTTAGACCAGCCAAACCTCAAACCTGCAGCCGTCCTTCCTATGTTTTAGTCTCCAGGCCTTTGATCCCCTTAGACTAGACTAGACTAGACTAGAATAGAATAGAATAGAATAGAATAGAATAGAATAGAATAGAATAGAATAGAATAGCTTTATTGGCCAAGTGTGATTGGACACACAAGGAATTTGTCTTGGTGCAAATACTCTCAGTGTACATAAAGAAAAGGTACATTTGTTAAGAATCAATCATAACATACAACACTTAATGATAGTCATCGGGTACAATCAAATCATACTAGGAAACAGTCAATATAAATCATATGGATACAAGCAACAAAGTTACAGTCCTACAATCACAAATGGGAGGGGATGGGTGATAAGGAGTGATGAGAAGATTGATAGTAATAGTAGTGCAGACTTAGTAAATAGTTGAACAGTGTTGAGGGAATTATTTGTTTAGCAGAGTGATGGCTTTTGGGGAAAAAAACTGTCCTTGTGTCTAGTGGTTCTGGTGTGCAGGGCTCCATAGCGTCATTTTGAGGGCAGGAGTTGAAACAGTTTATGTCCGGGATGTGAGGGGTGTGTAGATATTTTCACAGCCCTCTTTTTGACTCGCAAGATACAGGTCCTCGATTGAAGGCAGGTGGGTAGTAATTGCTTTTTCTGCATTCCCAATTATCCTCTGAAGTCTGTGTCTGTCCTGTTGGGTTGCAGAACCGAACCAGACAGTTATAGAGGTGCAGATGACAAATTTAATAATTCCTCTGTAGAACTGGATCAGCAGCTCCTTGGGCAGTTCGAGCTTCCTGAGTTGGCGCAGAAAGAACATTCTTTGTGGTGCTTTTTTGATGATGTTTTTGATGTTAGGTGTCCATTTGAGGTCATAGCTGCTCTTCTGTAAAGTTTTCCCAAGTGGGAGCAGGACATGTGGAGCCCCGAATGGCGGATTGGCAAAGGCATCCACTTGTTGAAACTTGGTAGTCCCATTCCCACATGTGACTCTGGTCTGCGCCTGCCCTCACGCACACACCCACCCACACCCACACACAAACATTTAAGGGCTTATATAACATCTGGAGGCCGGCTGATCGGAACAGGTTTTCTCAGCTCAGGTGATTGCAAAAATAGAAAGTGTGCATTCCACAACTCCGGGAGCCACATTTGGTGCGAGGAGGTGATCCTGTCCGGAGATCAAGTTTTGGCACCTGAAGTGGCCGCCGGCTTTCCTCCCCCTGAGGCAGGAAGGAAGGCCAGCTTTGATGGGGAGGAAGCCTCCAATGGACTCCCAACACGCCCTGCTCAACGAGGGAGAGGACGATGAGATGGTAAGGGCAGGGAGGGTCACCCCCGAAGCTGCCCCCTGGCTTCTGCTAGCCTGACGCCGGCCACCCCACAGCCCACTGGACCCCCCTTGAGGAAAGCAGCTCAAGGTCAGGGGCCTCTGTTAAGGGACGCGTGGGCACCCCCCTCTCCCCCCCCCCTCCACAGCAGGAAGGCTGGCAGGTCTCTTTGTCAGGGGTTGGGTGGGGATGGCGATGGGGAGGGATGGGAGAAGTTGGCACCATCCAGGCCTGGCCTCCTCTCCAAGCAAATCCCACCCCGGGCCTCTTCCCTTCGTTTCACTGCTTCAGGCTGCTCAGCGTTGGGGCAAATCCTTCAAAAATCCCCCCCCCCCCAAATCCCCATTTGCTGCCGATCAGCTACACCAAGGCTCTTTTGGGTTCTTGAAAACCCCTTCCTGCCCCCTTGCAGCTGCCGGAAGCAACTTTTGGGGGGGGGGGAGATTCTGCCCCTGGGGTGGTCCGTGCCTGAGTCCATGGGGGGGATGGTGGCTTTTCTGCAGCTGGAGGTGAGTTCCCACAGCACAAGTTCTCCCTCTTCTAGGTCGGTGACAGGGAGGGCATCATTGGGATGGAAAAGAGGCTCATTCTGGAGCCTCTGCGTACGAAGGCCCAGACGGGTCGATTGGAGCAGGGGAAGGGAACCTCAGCAGCTCAGGGATGAACGAGGGGGGGCTTCAGGGCTCCCTGGACAGGACTGTTCTCTTGCAGACATTTTCTGACCCTTCTAGGTAACATCATCAGGGCTAGAAGGGAGTGAGATTTGCAGAGAGGAAGAGGAAGAGGACTTGGGGGTCCCTGGTGCTCTCTGAGCTGGATGGTTTTCTTGCAGACGTTTCATGACCCAACCAGATAACATCACCAATGCTAGAAAGAAGAGGGGTTTACAGGGAGCTTCTCATTTGCTTCGTAACCCTTCAAAGGCCCTGGAAAAAAAGACCCCCAGCGCAGTTCCCCCCGGCCCTGATCATGGCAGCAGCCCCCGGGTCACGCGATCACGAGGTGGGCGCTTGGCAGCCGGTGTCTCTTTGCGACGGCTGCCGCTTCCGGGCTCCCTGCGTCCTGCACCCTTTGCAAACCTTCCTGGGCGGCTTCTGTCAAGCAACGTCTATCCAGGGGAAGCTGGATTCACTTAACGACCTTGGGGTACACTTCACAACAGCAGGGGGTGGCTTAACAAGCATGGCAAAAGAAGGTTCCAAAATCCGGCGTGACTCACCTAACGACTGCCTTGCTTAGCAATGGAAATTCCGATCCCAGTTGTGGTCATAGGTTGAGGACGACCTGTTGCTTCCGTCGTCATTTGCCCCGTCAGAATTGGTGGGAGGCTCCTGGCTGGTTCCTGGGTCGTTTGAGTTGGTAATTCCTGGATTAGGTCATTATGTTTATCGTTTGATTGTTTGCCAGATGTTGATTCCTGCTAATCTGGGAGTTGCCAACCCAGACACACAATTTAAGCACTAAGGAACAGTCTCAACAAGGAAGCGCCAACCAACCATTTATCCCTGCCAGCTTAGCGTCACCCGCAAACTCGATGCGTTCCCCTTCTATTCCCTCACCTGAGTCATTGATGAAGATGTGGAAGAGTCCTTGAGTACGGCTTGCCAGCCAGTTGCGAGTCCACCTGGTGGTGATGCTATTTACTATCCCACATTTTTCTATTTTTCTTTTCGGGCCGTCTTGCTAAGTTTAGAACAGAGTTTGCGTTGGGTGGTTTGGATTGGCCAGGCTCTACGGCTGCAGGAATTGGGTCGTGTGAATCAAGTTGTTGGTTCTCTGTTGCGCTTTGTATTTAAAAATGGATAAAATCTCCTTTGCTGAATAAGCCCATCTGGCATCAGGACAGTGTGTCTGTCAGGATTTACACCCTTCCTTTACTCATCGAGTAAGCCGTTGGCAGTTCCTGCAATTCGATGCCCTCTGTGAAGGACTGGCTCGCTTCTCTCTGCAGTCCAGGTGATCTCTGCCCCTCCTCCTTCAACCAGGGGCTGCTCTCCAGCTCTCCCCTCCCCCCAGGCCCCACCCTGAGGATTTTGATTTCTGTTGCACAAAAACTGGTCTCTTCTTGTTGCGGAAGAACTCCACTTTTGCATGGTGTCCCAGGGCAGAAAGGAAGCAGTCTGACTCTTATCACACGCCTTAGAACGGAGCTCCTGAGCATAGGGAGAGTGCAAAGCGTAGCAGCAGGGCCTCGGCGAGCAGGAGGGCTTCCGGGGAAACCTTCCTTTCCGTTGTGATGAGGGCGGCTGGGGAGGCTGCCAGGCCAAGAGCCCAGTGGAAAGTTTTCCCATTTCGCTTTGCCTGCAATCTCCCTTTTGGCCCTGAGCTCCGTGGCCCTTAATGACAGGCCGGCCGCTGCTCTTCCCCTGGAGGTCCTGTCCTGGCTGGAATGCGACTGGACGGGTCCCGAGTGCCTGGCCTCCCAAGCCCATCGCAAGGCTGCGCTGCCCCCCTTGGGTGGAGGCCTTGAACCCGCCTGGTCCCTCCGGGAGGGAAGGGAGAAGAAAGGGGGATGGACAGGAAGCCAGTTTACAGTCTTGCTTGCCACGGTCGTTAAGTGAATCTGGCTTCCCCATTGCTTGTTGGAAGGCCGCAAAAGGGGGTCATGTGACCCCGGGACACAGCCACCGTCCTAACTAGGAGCCAGTTGTTGAGGGTCTGAATTTTGATCACGGGATCACAGGGAGGCTGCTGCAGTCGTAAGTGTGAAAACCGGTCATAAGTCCCTTTCTTCAGAGCTGTTGCTAAATGAACGGTTGTAAGTCGAGGACTGTCTGTATTCTGCCCACCGGGTGCCATGCCTGGATCACAGCCCAGAGGCAGCCACGATCCAGGGAATCCTGGTTGCTCCAACACTGGAGGCTCTTAAGAAGAGGCTGGACAGCCACGTGTCTGAAATGGTATAGAAGGGGGTTGGACTAGAAGACCTCCAAGGTCCCTTCCAGATTCTATTCTAATCTTTATTCTGTTCTCTGTTCTATTCCATTCTATTCCTTATTTTCAATTCCATTTTCTATTCTATTCTCTATTCTCTATTCTATTTATTCTCTATTCAATTCCATTCTATTCCATATTTTCTTTTCCCTCCCCAGTTTGAGGCAAGCCGGCAAGCCACGCCCACCAAACCAGGGCTAGAACCATTGGAATCCCAGCACTGGTTCAGAGGCTTTGCCAGCTTGGAGGTCTTGGCTGGTTTTGCTCCTTCAAGCCTCACTCAGAACGCAGCCCCCTGCCTGGGAGGGGAGGATGTGGGCTGCCCCAGAAATGCGAGTGGGAGGAGCCAGATCTTGGCTTCCTTTAGAACCGGGGTCACCAACTGTGGCCCCTTGAAGGCATGCGGACTTCAGCCCCCAGAATTCCCCAGTCAGCACATGCTTTAGAAGCTGCTTTCCTGTGGCCCTTTGTGCATCCTGGGTCTGCAGCACAGGCACAGTGCCAATATTTGAGGAGGGGCTGCCCCAGAGAGGAGGGGGGGGGGTCAGGCTATTCTCCAAGGCAACTGAAGGCCAGACAAGGAACGATGGATGGAAACCAGACAAGGAGAGATTCAACCTGGAAATAAGGAGAAACTTTCTGACAGTGAAAGCAATCAACCCATGGAAGAGAAGTTGCCTTCGGAAGTTGTGGGAGCTTCATCCCTGGAGGCTTTCAAGAAGAGGCTGGACTCCCATCTGTCAGAAATGGTGTGGGGTCTCCCGTTTGGGTGGGTGGGGATTGGACTAGATGATCTCCCAGGTCCCTTCCAACTCTGATCGTCTGTAAGTCACCAAGGGCTAGAATCTCTAGGCTGGCGTCTGTTGGCTCTTCTTAGTTTAGCCAGGGCTGACGTGTTTTGTTTCCCTTTCAGTTGATTGAAATTGTTCTTAAATATGATTTTCCCCAGAAAAGTTTGCCAGCCTACAATCCTGTTTGTAAAAGATTCCACTCCTTTAAAAGAAACCTTTCCTTTCTCCTCCTTTGCCTCGCTGCCATCCCTCCCACAGTGACTCTCAAATATTCCCCTTCCTGGCGACTTCTGTCCGCTTTCTGGAAGGAGCTCCTGTTCCTCCTGCCTTGTGGGCCACTTGCTGCTGAAACTCTCGCTTGTCCGTCTGTCGTCTTCAGCCGAGCAAAATGGTGCATAAACAGGGCAGCAACGTCTGAACCAAAGTCCTTCAAGGGGGCTAATTTTCAGAAGGTGCCAAAAATTCGGGACTTCTTATTTCCTTGGGACTGAAATTTGGGAAGATGGTGGCTCTTCAGTGCCGCTGTGTCCCTGCACTGCCCCCGTCAGCTCTGGCCATGGGTTGTCACTTCCATGCTCGCTGACAGCTTCCCCCCAGCAAAATCAGCATGGAAACTGGCAGGAGTTGCACGCCCCGAAGCCCCCAGGTGAATGAGCGGCTGCTGCTGGGTCGAAGGGGCGGAGAGCAAGGAGGCGCATGAGCCGTGATGAGGGTTGGGAAGGGTGTGCAGGAGGCAGGGCGTAGGGCAGGGAGAGAGTACGAGGGGGGGGAGGGGGGTCCCTGAAGGAGGTGGGGAGGGTCACAGGAGGCTCATGAGGGGGCTGCCCAGGGAGTGTCAGGATGGGGGCCAGGGAGGGGAAAAGGGCGGAGGAGGGCAACTAGGACAATGAAGGGCCTGGAGACTAAAGGATACGAAGAAGAAGGGTTGCAGGAACTGCGTATGTCCAGTTTCATGAAAAGAAGGGCCGGGGCGACGTGATAGCACCTTCCAGTGTTTGAGGGGCTGCCCCAGAGAGGAGGAGGGGGTCCACCTGTTCCCCAAAGCACCTGAGGGCAGGGCAAGAAGCAACGGGTGGAAACTGATCAAGGAGAGAAGCAGCTGGGAATTTAGGAGGAGTTTCCTGACAGGGAGAACCGTCCATCAGTGGGACGGCTTTGCCTTCAGAAGTTGTGGGGGCTTCATCAACCCCGGAGGCTCTGAAGAAGAGGCTGGACGGCCTCTGGTCTGGGATGGGACAGGGTCTCCTGTTTGAGCATTGGGCTGGACTAGAAGACCTCCGAGCTCCCTTCCAGCTCGAGTCTGATTGAGTGAGTGAGTGAGGCTGCTCAGGAGTGTGCAAATGAAAGTGCACAGACGTTACTAGAGCAACTTGTGCCCCCCCCCCTCGCCAGTTTCCCCATGGACTTTCCGTCTGCCAGCTTCCCCCAAGGAAACTCCACGGGGAGGCTTCCCTTTCCTGCTTCCGTTGCCCGTGGCCACCCTGTCGATCTGTTTTGGTAAGGAGCTGCCTCTGAAATGAGGACCCAACGGGTCAGGGGTCATCGAGCTTCCCTCTGCTTCTCAACTGGCTTGATTGAGATCCGGTTGTGGCCTGGTGGGGAAAGTCTCAGGTCCTGCCTTTCCTGCCACCATAAAAGTTTGGCTCAAAGCCCACCCCACCTCTTAGCTTCACGGAGGACAATGTGCTCTTAAATGGGAGCCCCGATCTCGTCCACAGTCCCCTGGTTTAGGGAGCCACCTCCTCCCTCTCTTCCTGGCTCCTCTGAGATGCTGAAGTGGGGAGTTCGGGTTCCTTGGAGCCTCTGGGGCTGGCAGGCGAACCCTCTCCGCCTCTTTCTGCTGTGGGGGGGAGTGGATCCCATCCAGGTCTCCAGGGGATCCTGCGTTTCTCCCTCCCGATTACCCATCGGTGGCGCTGCGCCCTTCCTTGACCTGGTGCCAATTTGTCCTCATGTCTGTGGAGATTGTCCATCCTCCAAGATCAGGGTTGTCCCAAAGGTACTTCCCCCCCCCAAAGAAAACTGGACTTTCTTGGGTGTTTTCCTTCTGGAGGCGACCCCTACCCCACAAACCCATCTCAAATATGCAGCGAAAGCCACCTGAGAGCCATGGTGGCGCAGTGGTTACATTGCAGTATTGCAGGTGAATTCTGTTGACTGCCTGCAGTTCGAATCTCACCAGACTCAAGGTTGACTCAGCCTTCCCTCTTTCTGAGGTCGATAAAACGAGGACCCAGATGGTTGGGGGGCAAAAGGCTGACTCTGTAAACCGCCCAGAGAGGACTGGCCAGCAGTGTGAAGCAGCATTTAAGGGCTATTGCTATTCTGAAGAAGCTGAACTGAAGAAGCGAAATATCTTCAAGGAAAAACAAAGTCTAATTGCCTTTTGAAAAAGCACATTTGGGAGTTGCTGTGCTGATAACTTTCCGGGACGCAGAAATCCAAAACTAACCAACCAGGCAGGATTTGCACAAAACACTAAACCTCTAATTCTGGTCTGTGACCGTAATGAAAGGCTGATTAATTGATTAAGCCCCATAAAAGCCTGACTTGAAGTTTGCGGTTTCACTCACCTGGCCAAGCCGGTTGGGTGGCCGTATCCATTGCTAGCTTGATCTTCACTTCCTCTCCCAGGTTCCCGGAGTGAATTAAGCTGCTGAGTGGTATCTGAGTTCAGACTCACGGTCGGTTGGCTAATCACAGTCACCCAAAGGAATCTCAGCTTAACTGCTGTCCTTGGCAATCCTTGTTAGCAAATACCGTGGCCAGCGCACCCCAGGTGCCAATCGGAGCAGTTTCACCTGGGATTCAGCTCAGGCAGGAAAGAGGCGGCTCCAGGGTCATTTACTGGACAGCAGCCAAGGCCAAAACAGCTTCATATTGTCCACCTGGAACTGCTTGTGATGCAGAGATTTCAGGGGGCCCTGGGAACAAGCCAGGGGCCACTAGCCCGGATTGTCCCAGCGGAGGGGGGAGCTGTGGTAATCCCAGCCTTGACCTTTGGTAGACATAATGGCAGAACAGTAGAGATGGAAAGTAGGACACCGGGTAATTTTCGCACCCCAAGGGAAAGAATTTGGTTTCTGAGAACAACCCGTCCAACAATCTTGCACCTGAAGAATAGAATAACAAAATAACAGAGTTGGAGTCACATTCTCGGACCGTGGCCCCCTCTGGCTTTCTCATGCAATGCTGGATTAATCTTAACCCTGGTTAAGATTAGGTTTGGTGCTGTCGTGTATTGTACGAATCCAGTCCAATGGCCGGTTTTAAGTGAATTCTGTGATTTCCACATGAAAATTCTCCCCATTTTTGCAGAGTGTCTTGAAAGTTTCCTGTTTCAGAATCAAATCCCAAATCCACACAGTATGCAAGACTCAGTGGCCTCCCAGACCTATTTTATGTTGTTGGGAAATCTATTTGTTGATTATACAGGTAGTTGTGTCAAGCACAAACAACCAGGTCCACACATGGAGGCCCAGTTAAACTTGATTATTGCTAAAAGCTTTGCACAGGAATCTATTCCTATTCCTATTCCATTCCATTCCATTCCATTCCATTCCATTCCATTCCATTCCATTCCATTCTATTCTATTCTATTCTATTCTAAATTTATGGTCACTGCTGGTGAGAGACAGATAGGAGTCCCTGGAATTCAAGGGAGGTTGGACTTCATTTGCTTGTGGCTACGTAGGGATTCTAGGTCGATTCCCCTTTTCCCTCCACCCCCCCAGGTTCCACCGTCTCTCCTGCTGCTTGTTGGCTGCTTTGAGAATAGCCACAAGACGGGTTTTCGGGAGGGTTGAGCCTTGGCGCGGACTGAGGGGGAAGGGCTCCCTTCACGGCCAAGTCTTTCTTCCCAGGAGGTCTTTGGCTACAAGACCGGGGGCTTCCGGAGGGCCCTGTGCCTGGCTGGCTACATCCTGTCCTGCGGAGGCCTCCTGCTTCTCTTCCACTGGAAGCCCGAGTGGGACGTCTGGGCCAACTGCCAGCCCTGCAGCTTGGAAGAGGCCGACGTGGTGCTGCTCAGGAGCACGGTAGGTGCCTCTCCTTCTTCTGAAGCGACCCGATTCCCTTCGTGGTCGTCTGTGGAAGTCCCAGCCGAGGGAGCTGCTGCTGCTGCTTCGGTGCCGCCCTTCCTTAGGCTTCTTCGTATCCTCCGGAGGGCTCCACCGTCTTCAGAGGGAAGGCACAACGGCTTCCGACTGTTTTGTTTGTTTGGCAAAACGTTCATTCATTGGGTCACGAGATCGTTCTGCATTGGACTTGTAGAAATCCAAAGATTTGAGTCCCCCACAGCATTCACGGTTGATTGGTGGCTTCTTCCTTATTCTGATCTAATGCTGGATACTGGAGCCCTTCCGCCATCCTCCTCCTCCTCCTCCTCCTCCCCCCCCCCTCCCTCCTCCTCCTCCTCCTCCTCTCGCTTCCCTAGGAAAAGGCACTGGCATAATTTTAATGTTGTAAGTTGTCCAGGATCCCCTGTGGTGAGAGGGTGGCAAATAAACTTAATAAGTACATAGGTAAGCCAGCGGCTCTGGGTCTCCGTCTCCTGCTGGAGGGATTAAACCAGCCCTGCTCTAACGGCAAAGCCCTTGGCCGGATCTCCAGGTCCACCCAGTGCCTCCCTCCTCTCCCCTTCCCAGGACGAGAGGAAGAGGTTCACCCGGAAGCAGGTGGTCTCCCTCGACTTCCAGGCTCTCCTGGGCACCGAAAAGTCGGGGCTGAGCTTCAGCAGAGAAATGCACTCGATCGTCCGGAGGGCCACCAAGAGGCTGGACATGAAAGTGAGCCCTGGGCCCAGCTGGGAGCAAGGGGGGGGGGGGGGGCTGCTGGGGCGGGGGGGGGGACACTACCAGGAGCCTCCCGCTCTCCCTCCTGCTGAGCACGTCCCCTGTGGCACAACCTGAGGCTGGAGAGAGGCCCAAGGGAGCCACCTGGGCCCGCGGAAACATTTGCAGCCTCCCTCCCCAACTTGGCCTGCGTTCCCTTCCCGGTTTAAGGCCTCCAGGTGCCCCACCAGCTGAGGGCCCAGCCAGGGTCACGGCGGTGGCCTCATCCAGGAAGAACGTGGGCTACCCCGCATTGCCTGGCGTGTGTGTGTGGGGGGGGGAGGGTCTTCCAGAAGTCACCTCTGGGCCCCCTGGCATTTCCTGGCGCCCTGCAGGAAAGGGCAGCAGGAGCTCAGCCTGGGGAGGGGGAGGGGGGGGTCTGGTCTCCCTGAAGGACACGGACGACCCCCCCCCAGGCCTGGCTGAGGGAGATGAGGGGAGGCCGGCCGGGACCCCCCCCCCCAATGTTTCTGTGATGTGTTGCTCTCGTAGGGGAGGTATATCCAGGTACAAAAAATGCGCTACCTCTGGGATTTTGCTGAGAAACACTTTGCTCGCGTTGGGTGAGTTTCCCGCTTCTCAGGAGGAGGAGGAGGAGCAGCCGGAGGGTCCCCCCCCCCCCCCCCCCCCCACCCGCCAGGAGGAGGCCCCAGGCAGCCTTGCGGCCCGAAACGAGGTTCCCCTGGAGGTTGTCCCTGGTTGGAGGCTGGGTCAATGTGGCACTTCAGGGTTTTCTCAAGCTTGACTCTGGCCAAGCATCCCATTCTCAGGCAGACATATAGCCTGGATGGATGCCCATTTGCTTTTCTTTCTTCCTCTTTCTTTCTTTCTTTCTTCTTTCTTTCTTTCTTTCTTTCTTTCTTTCTTTCTTTCTTTCTTTCTTCTTTTTTTCTTTCTCTTTCTTTCTTTCTTTCTTTCTTTCTTTCTTTCTTTCTTCTTTTTTTCTTTCTCTTTCTTTCTTTCTTTCTTTCTTTCTTTCTTTCTTCTTTTTTTCTTTCTCTTTCTTTCTTCTTTCTTTCTTTCTTTCTTTCTTTCTTTCTTTCTTTCTTTCTTTCTTTCTTTCTTTCTTTCTTTCCTTCCTTCCTTCCTTCCTTCCTTCCTTCCTTCCTTCCTTCCTTCCTTCCTTCTCTCTCTTTCTTTTATTTCTTCCTTCATTTCTTTCCTTTCTTCTTTCCTTCCTTCTTTCCTTCTTCTTTTCCTTCCTTCCTTCATCTTTTCCTCCCTCCCTCCCTCCCTTGTTCAGTGAAAGCAACCATGAACAGATGCGGGTGGGGGGGATTATTTTTCCAAGCGGCAGAGTGTTGCAAAGGAGCTTGTCGGTCCAGAGAGGAGGCAGGAGGAAACACCCTCACCCTGATCTGGGTTTGGTCCGTGGGGAAGGGGGGGGGGTTCCTGCCTCCGAGGGGTGAGCCCTTCTTCTCCCCACCTGGGCTGGCTGGGGGGGGGGGTGTCTCTGCTGCTGCAGGGCCTGAGGCGGCTTCCCCTCCCGCCTTGCAGGAGCTCCATCTGTGGCCCCAATGCCATCGAGATCGAAATCCGCCCCGTCTGGAAGCTGCTCTTCAAAGAGGTGACCAGCCGGTCTCTGCCCAGCCTTGGGGGGACCCCCCTGAGGAGCCTGGGGGGTCTTGGGCACAAAGCCTGACCCCTTTTTTTCTGGGAGGTCTCAGGCAGAGACGAAGAGGGGGAGGGGCAGAGTGGGGCAACTGAAGGGGCTTCTCCTTCTCTCCGGGAGGCAGGGAACACCAGGTCTTCTTCCCCCAAACCCCGGCTCTCCCTCAGGAGCTGGAGGGGGAGGGCGGGGCCTGCTGCTTGGGATGCCAAAGGGCAGCTCTGGGTCCCCAGGAACAGAGCCAGCTCAGCCGGGGGCTTCCTGGAAGCTCACTCCTGGCAAGGAGACCGAAGGTGGAGATGGCTAGTGGCAGTGGGGGTTGGCGCAGGGCTGGCTGGCTGCTGCTCCGGGTGCAAGTCAGACCTGGTTTGCAGAGCCACAGGTGCCCTGGGGAGGCCATGCGTGACTTGAGGAGGCCTGCCAACGTCCCGGCTGCTGCTGCGGCTGCTCTCCCAGCGGGCGGTTGCTGCAAGGCGGAGGCTCCGTGGCTGCTTTGAGGGTGCCCCACGGCTGCCCTGGCATCCCACCCGTGTCCTCTGCCGGCAGATCCTGAACCCCTTCTACGTCTTCCAAGCCTTCACCCTGACCCTCTGGTACACCCAAGGCTACGTCGAGTATTCCTCGGCCATCGTCCTCCTCTCCGTCATCTCCATCGGCCTCACCATCTACGACCTCCGGCAGGTGAGTTGCCCTCCCCCCCCCGTTCATTTCGCTTGTCCAATCAACGGCTTCCCTTCCTCCGGAGCCTCCAGGCAAGACGGGCAACGACCCTGTGAGGGAGGCCGGGGAGAGGGAGGGGCCGGCTTTCTTCAGAGGCGGAGTGACCTGCTCAGGGGCTGCAACGCTGCCTTCTCCCCTTGGGGGTCTCCCCCTTTCTGCTTTCCCACAAGGGACTAGCAGCATCTTCTCCCACCTGGGGCTGTTTTTTGTGTGTGTGTGGGGGGGCATTTTGCATTCTTGCCTTAGCTCACTTCCCCCAATTTGCTCTGGGGAGGGGGCTGTTCCTGGTGTGGATAGCTGAGAGACCCACCACCTGTCCCCCCAGGGCCCCTGAGAGCCAGTGTCCTCCCCTGCCCCGAGTTTGGCAGGGGATGAGAGGGGGAGTCTGCCCCCTTCTGTGGGCGCCTTGCTGGGCTGGAGGGGCAGAGAGACGGGTGAAATTTGGCCAACCCCTCCAGGGCCTGGAACCAGCCTTCTCTTGCCCCAGGGGTGGGGGGAGGGGGGTCAGGGAAGAAAGAGGCATCCAGCCCTTTGACCTTCTCCCCCCCCTTGCCCCCCCCAGCAATCCATCAAGCTGCACAATCTGGTGAAGGAGCACAACCAGGTGCAGGTCACCGTCTGGACGAAAGGAGAAGGTGGGTGTGATGACCCCCCCCCCGCCCTATCCCTGCCCAGCCCTTTGTAATGACTGCTGGTCCTGTGGGGGGGCTCCCCCAGTGACTCCCTGGCCCCCCCAAGAGCCTGTCATGCAGGCAGAGCGCCTCCTTCCAGGTGGCCAAGAAAGACCCCCCCAGCCGTTTCCTTCCCAAACTACGGCCGTCCGTCCCTGGAGCCACCCGCCTCTCCTGCCGGAAGACCCTGAGAGGAGCGAGGCTTTCGGTCCAGGGCTGCACCCCTCCCTCCTCCCTTTCTCCCCCTGGCCAGGCAGTTCCACCGTGGAGTCCCGTCACTTGGTCCCCGGGGACCTCCTCCTCCTGGAAGGCCAGCGGTTCTCCCTGCCCTGCGACGCCATCCTGCTGGAGGGGAGCTGCGTGGTCAACGAGGGGCTGCTCACAGGTACAGGCCGGCCGTGCACCTGGGGGGGGGGCTCTGCTCCCCCCACAGCCTGTGGGTCTGGTGGGCGGAGAAGGGAGCCTGGCAGGACCCCTAGAGGTCCTCTCTCCAAAGGCAGCTGGGCTTTCTTGGTTTCTTCCTTGAAAACATTTCGCTTCTCACCCAAGAAGCAGCTTCTTTGGTTCTAGGACTAGCTCAGAACTGAAGAAGCTTCTTGGATGAGAAGTGAAACGTCTTCAAAGAATTACCCAAGAAAGCCCAGTTGCCTGAAGCACCTTTGGGGCGACCGTGGCCTGGAGGACGGGGAGTCTCCACAGATGTTGACTCTCGTAGGACGGACGCTGGGCGAGTCAGTGTGTGTTGACGCATAGGCCCACGCTGTGGGGGCTGGAGGTCTCGGGATGGGGAGGGCTTGCACCCAGGGGCCACTGGGCAGCTGCGGCTAATCCACCGTGAGAACGTCCCCCCACCCCGTCCCGCTGCCGCTCCCCTTCGGCCTGGGGGCATCTTTCCTTGAAGCTTCTGAGCTTCCTGTTGGAATGGATGGATGGATGGATGGATGGATTCTTTATTGGCCGAGTGTGATTAGACACGCAAGGAATGTGTCTTGGTGCATTTGCTGGGAGACCCACCTGCGGAGAGGGGCAACCAGAGCCAGGACGCCCTGCCCTCTCCCCCCAACCTGTGGCTCTGGTGGGCAGAGCAGGCAGTCCTGTTTCACGTCTCTTTCCACGCTGGCATGGAGGGAGGGGCTTCTCTCCGGCCCCCTTGGCCTGGATCAGACTTCAGCTTGTAGCTTCCTTGGGGCAGCTGCTGGTACCTTTCCACGCCCCCTGGGGTCCCTATTGGGGAGGGGCCCTGAAGGGTGTGGCTTTCCCATGGCCTTTAGGCGAGAGCGTTCCCGTCTCCAAGACCCCCCTGCCTCACTCGGACAACACCCTGCCCTGGAAGGCGTACGGGATGGGCGATTATCGGAGACACGTCCTCTTCTGTGGCACGGAGGTGATCCAGACCAGGCGGGCAGGGCCTGGGCCGGTCCGGGCGGTTGTGCTGCAAACAGGTGAGTGCAGAACCAGCTGCTCGGCTGCTCTCCTTGGACAGGGCACAGGTGGTGGGTGGGCCCTGGTAGCCCCCGTGGGCATATGTGGGATGGGGAGAAGTAGCCGTCCCACCACCAGATGGAGGGAAACTCTGCGCTCAACCCTGAGAGTGTCAATTGGGCCCTTCTGGGCAGTTATGGCAACTTTATGACCTGTGGGCTTCTGGGAATTCTGGGAGTTGAAGTCCACAGCTTGTAAAGTTGCCACAGTGAAGCAGAGTGAGAGATTCCTGGACTTCAGAACCAGCACAAGGAGATTTATGGCCTTTTACACTCTCAGCGTTCCAGATTGCAGATCTGGCCTTGGAGTTCTCAGGTGGACAGGAAGCTAAATCGTGACTCTGACTCGTAGTTTCTGGATGAAGTCCACTCCCTAAAAATCCAGAACTCTTAACACTTTTCAGTTAAGGAGCAAGTTGGATACGGGGCACCTGATTTTTTTTAGCCTTCCAGTCTGAACCTGACCCCTCCAACCTGTTGGCCAATCATTTTCAGGCTTTGGCCACCCACCCTGCCTCCAACGCCCCCCCCCCCCAGCCATCTTTCCAGAAGTGGTTCTCCAATTTCTTCTTGAAAGCCTCCAGTGGTGGAGCTTCCGGTGGCAAGCCATTCCACTGGTGAATTGTTCCCACTGTCGGGAAGTTTCTCCTTAATTCCAGGTGGGTAGACCACACCTGGAATATGCCACGATGTAAAAAAGATGTTGAGACTCCGGAAAGAGTGCAGAGAAGTGCAACCAAGAGGGTTTTAGGGGACTGGAGGCTCTAAAGCATAAGAAGAATTCCAGTGGCTGGAATTGGGTAGGTCTCGTCTGATGAGGAGAAGGACTGGAGGAACATGACCGCAGCCTTCCAATATCAGGTCCAAAACCCCTGAAGGCAGGAGAAGAAGCAACGGATGGAAACTAATCAAAGAGAGAAGCAACGTAGAATGAGGGTGAAATTTCCCGACAGTGAGGACAATGAACCCGTGGAACAGCCTGCCACCAGAAGCTGTGGGTGCTCCATCACTGGAGGCTTTCAAGAAGAGATTGTGCAACCATTTGTCTGGGGTGGTTCAGGGTCTCCTGCCTGAGGAGCGGGTTGGACTAGAAGACCTCCAAGGTCCCTTCCAGCTCTGCTACTCTGTCCCTCCCCTGGGGTGGCTGCCTCTTTCCCTGCAGGCTTCAACACCGCCAAGGGGGACCTGGTGCGGTCCATCCTGTACCCGAAGCCCCTGAACTTCCGGCTCTACCAGCAAGCCTTCCACTTCATCCTGGGGCTGGCTGGGGTTGGCATCCTGGGGATGATCTATGCCATCTGCGTGTACGTGACCCAGAAGGTGGGTCCCAGATGCAGAAACCCCGCCCCCTTGGCACTGCCCATCATCCCCTCCCCCCCAATGAGGGCCGGCTTCCTGGGGAGGGGAGAGCTGTGGCCCCTGGAGGGGCCCCTTGGCTGGCTCTGCCCACCCCACCCGCCTGGTGTCCTTCCGCAGCAACCGGCCTCGGACACGGTGGCCATGGCGCTACTGCTGCTGACGGTGCCAGTGCCCCCCGTCATCCCGGCGGCCCTGACCACCAGCATCGTCTACGCCCAGCGGAGGCTGGCCAGGAAGAAGATCTTCTGCATCAGCCCCCAGAGGATCAACCTCTGCGGCCAGATCAACCTGGTCTGCTTCGACAAGGTGGGGCTGGGGGCCTGGGGGCCGGGGTGGGGCAGGGCACGGGAAGCCCCCCTGGGGGAGGCTGGCTGGCTCCAGGCCCGACGGACGTCCTCCGGACGGCTGCCCTTGGCAAATAACCGAGAGGGCCCCCCAGAAGTGGTGGGTGCTCCATCACTGTAGGTTTCTAAGAAGAGACGGGACCACCTTTTGTCTGGAGGGGTGTGTAGGTTCTCCTGCCTGGGACCAGGGGGCTGGACTAGAAGACCTCTGAGGTGCCTTCCAATTCTGTTGTTCCGTCATCCAGATGAATTAACCAGTGGAACAGCTTCTCTCCGGGGGTGGTGGGTGCTCCCTCAGTGGAGGTCTACAAGAAGAGACTGGACGGCCATTGGCCTGAAACAGTCTGGGGTCTCCTGCTTGAGCGGGGGGTTGGACCAGATGACCTCCGAGGCCCCTTCCAGCTCCGTTGTTCCGTCATCCACCTTTCCCTTCCACCCCGCAGGATTCTCTTTTCTTCAGAGCTGCTCCCCCCGTGAGAAAAGCCCCCCCTCCCCCCCGGTCCTTTCTTTCCACTCACAAGTGGAAATATTCCTCAACGTTCAACCGGGGACAGACGTAGGTTTAATGTTGGCTTTATTCATGGGCACATTTTTCTTTATAATTTCTTCTTCTCCTTGTTGTTTTTCTAACTTTGGCCTTTGGCCTTTTTGTTTTTCTGTTCTTGTCCTTTCTAATATTTTACCTTCCAAAGAAATAAAATAAAATATTAGAGCCCAACCCAATAGAGGGGGCAGCCGGGCCTGCAGCCCACCCTTATTGGGCCCTAATCCTGGCTCTCTCTTGAACCCAGACAGGCACCCTGACCGAGGACGGGCTGGACCTCTGGGGGGCCCTTCCTTGCCAAAGCCAGAGGTGAGGAGTGTGGGGAGCCATCTGACCCCAGATGAAAGGAGGCAGAAGAGGGGGAGGTTGCTGAGGGTCCCTGGGAACTGGCAACCTTGGCCGCCGCTGCCTTCTGGGCCGCTTCCTTCCTTGCTCCTGCCAGGTGATGAAGGCTGGCACTCCCCCTGCTGGCTGCCCGAGGGGAGAGGATGGGTGGTGGCCGGGCTCACACCTGCCCAGGGAGTCAGCTGGGAAACTGCCTTCCAAGGGAGCCCCCACTCACCCCCACCTGCCCCTCAGCTTCCAGAGCGTGCACAGCTTCTCGGGGGCCCCCTTGCCCTGGGGGCCCCTCTGCAGAGCCATGGCGACGTGCCATTCCCTTTTGCTGCTGGACGGGGAGATCCAGGGGGACCCACTGGACCTGAAGATGTTCGAGGGCACAAACTGGGTGAGCCTCCCTCCCCTCCGGCTGCTTCGGACAGGCCGGGCGTTCTCCTGCCTCTTGTGTGTGGGGGAGTTTTGGGGAGGGGTAGAAGCTGCCCTCCTCTTCCTCCAGCATCCTCCCTTCTGCCCCAGCGGCTGCTGTGAGCCCCTCCAGTGGCATTCCTGCTGGCGCCACCCATTGGCGTGTTTCGGGATGGCACAGAGAGGTTGGCAAGGCAGCCAATCTCCCCTTTGCAGGCTCCCTGCAGAGCGGGAAAAGGGGATGGGATGGGAAGAGGCTTCCCAGGAAGGGAACCAGGGAGTCCCCAAACCTTTCACCCTCCGGGGGGGGGGGGTTTCTTGGCCGGACCAATTCCTCCGGGGCATCCCCTTGACCCATCCGTTGACAGCCAAGGGCAGGCCCTGCACTCCAGCTCAGCTCTGAGGATGGGAAGGGCAGCCGGGGAGACCCCTGGCCCTGAGGATGCTCCCCGGTTGGATAATACCCGTCTGCAGGGAAACCACCACACTCCGAGAGCAAATCCCGCCTCCCTCCTAGCACTGATGATGTTGCCTAGTTGGGTCATGAAATGTCTGGGAGGCTCAACTAAGGGAAGCCCAGCCAATCTCATGGGACATAGGTTGTGCACTGACAATAAAGGTTTGAATTGGAAGAAAACCTCCTCCTCCTCCTCCTAACTTCTAGCACTGATGATGTTACCTAGTCAGGTCATGAAATGTCTGGGAGGAAGGCCAGCAAGCTCGAGGGCACCCAGGACCCCCCAGTTCAATATTCTCTTCTCTTGGCACAAGCCCTTTGGTGGGATAGAGAACGGAGGGGTGGCTGCCAGGGTGGCCCAGCTCCTGGCTCTGGTGCCTGAGGGTTTCTCAGCCCTCTGGAGCTGTAAGTTCTCAGGGACCTTCCGGGAACCAACGGGATTCCAGACCCCTCTGACATCAGAAGCAGGTGGAGGCTGTGCTCGCTGTGTTTCTGGCTGGCACACAGCGGACTGCCTGCCTGCTGCGTTACATGCCCCGGGCTAAGGAAGAGGGCAGCCTGCCAAATTCAAGAGAAAGGCCGCCCTTTAGGACTGACGTTGACGCGCTCGGCCCCAGGCCACGCCTGAGTCTAAGGGGCCCCTGGTTGAACTCCAGGAGGTGCTTCTCTGTTGGCTTGCAATGTGCTAGTTTGAGCGAAGGGCTGGTTTGGTCTCTGCTGGCTTCCTTTTGGGGCCGTTTGTTTCCTTGTCTCTCCCTTTCCTTCCTCCTCTCCTCCTCCCTCTCTGAAGAACTGAACAAGCTTCTTGGATGAGAAGCAAAGTGCTTTCAAATTAAAAAAACAAAAAACAAGGAAAGTCCAGCTGCCTTCTGGAAAGGGACCCTTGGGGTGATTTGAGGATGGGGCATAATCAAAGTCACCACTCCTAACCCAACGGCAGCCCCCACGTCCCCAGGCTGAAGCCTTAGTCCTAACTGGACTCTTTCCCAAAGCAGGGCCGAATTCGCGCTTCCTGCCCACCCCAGAGGCAGCCCCCCCACCCCCCGGCAGGCAGCCTCCAGGGCTCCTTCTAAGGCTCCTGATTCTTTTTCTCCCACCAGGAGATGGAAGAGCACCGGCCGGACAAGAGCAGAGCCAGCCTCCCGGAGTCCTGCCTCCTGGTGAAACCGGGCCCTGGCGCCTCCCCAGTAAGCCAGTTCTCAGCCCCCCCCCCCCGCTTGTCCCCCTAGAAAGGGAGGCAGGCAAATGAAAAGAGGGGCTCCTGCTGGAGCAGGAGGTTGGACTAGAAGACCTCCCAGGGGCCTTCCAGCTCTGTTCTGATTGATTGATTGACTGGTGGAAAGCCAGGGCGTGGGGGTGGGGGGTGGGGGGGGAGAATTCTCCGGCCAGGAAAGAAAATCTGAGCTCGCAACAAACCAGCCAGAATGGATTTGCACCCGGAGCTCCTTTTCTGCCCAGGTGCAGCCAGGGAAGGAAAAGGCCTGAGCATCGGAGCAATGGTGGCCCTCCTATAGATTCCTTCTACGGACGGAAGCCAGCAGTCGGGAGCAGCTCCCCCCGGGGAGGGTCTCTGCTCAGGTCATCGGGGGGGGGGGGGGGGGTTAGAAGGGAACCGGGAGGCAGGCTGGCAGCGGAGCCCCCTGGGCCCTCCTGTGCTGGCAGCTAAGAGCCGGGACTCAGAGGGAGCAAAGCCCCCCCCCCCCCCCCAGCGGCCCCCCCACCCCCAAATAGCGCCGTCTTCTCTGGACTGAAGGGGGGGGGGACCACAGCTCCTCCGTTCACCCTCCTGCCGAAGGCCGGGCGAGGGAGAGCAGAGCAGCCGCATACAGGGCAGCCGCCCTTCCTCCAATGGACGCCCACGGTGACGATGACACTGACCAAAGTTACTGGGTTTCACACTTATGACCGCTGCAGCATCCTTGTGGCCACGTGACCAGACTCTGAGTGCTTGGCAGCTGGCCTGTGGTTGTGCCTGTTGCCTCGTCCCAGGGCCAGGTCATCCTCTCTTGCCACCTTCCAGTAAGCGGACCATGGGGGAAGCTGGGTTCACTTAACGGCCGCCTGATTCACTTAATAACTGTTGCAAAAGAGGGCGTAAAATGAGGGCAAAAGTCACTTAACAACGGCTTTGCACAGCCACAGAGATTTGGGGGCCAATTGTGGACGTAAGTCAAGGACTGACCGTATTAGTGACTGCAGCCCCAAATTGTCCTACGGGGGCCATGAGCAACGAGGCTGGCAGTGCCCCCCCCAGTCCCAGGTGCCCCCCGTGCCACCTTCTGAAACTCCTGGGGCTTCTCTGGCCCTGGACTCTCCAGCCAGAGCAAGTCAGTGGCTGTTGGAGGAGGCACCAAAACCCCAGGGAGGCCCAGGAGAAAGAAGTATCCCTAGAATAAGAGAGTTGGAAGGGACCTTGGAGGTCATCTAGCCCAACCCCCCCTGCTGGAGCAGGGGAACCTCTTCTTTCTTGGCTCTCCCAGGAGGGCCATCCACCGCCTCTTCCTTCCTCCAGACCAGAGCCACTTTGGAACTGGACTTAACCCGAATGCCCCCCCCCTTCCACGAGGGCCCCGTCAGGTCCTGAGCTTCGCTCACACCCAGCTGTGGAAGTCCAGCCTTCTTTTCAGGAGAGGCTTGTGCAGGGGGTTGGACTAGAAGACCTCCAAGGCCCCTTCCAACTCGGTTACTCTGTTTACAAGACACGCTTGATGAAACCAGAGCCGTAAGGGCAGGATTGGCTCCTTTCTTCGCCTCAAACAAGCATTTGTTCTGCTTATCACCCCACCCTGGCAAACGGACGGGCAGGCTGTGGAAGTGAAGCCTCGGCCTGCCCCGGTGTCCCTCTTCAAGGAAACAGGAGTCACGGATGCTTATGGGACACGACTTTGATGGCGCATAAGTTGCAGGAACAGGATCTTGCGAGCCCTCGTCACTTCAGGAAAACTAGGAAGGGTCAAATCCGAGACCTGTTCTTTTGTAAGAGCATTGCCTGGGTGACGACTTATGTAACATTAACGTTGGAAGGGACCCTGGAGGTCTTCTAGTCCAACCTCAGGCAAGAGACCCTACACCATTCCAGGCAAATGGCCGTCCGGCCTCTTCTTAAAAGCCTCCAGTGACGGAGCGGCCACAACTTCGGTTCCCCGGGTGGATTGTGCTCCCCGTGTCAGCAGCGGTTTCTCCTTAGTTCCAGGCTGCTGCTCCCCTCCTTTGATGCGTCCTGTTCTCCTCCCCCTCCTGCCTTCTGGCGCTTTGGGGAAGGGATGGACCCCCCCCACCCTTCTGTTCCTGGGGGTGATTCCTGCGCCTGCCTTCTCCCCCCCTGCCCAGGCCCCCGTGGAAGGGATCCTCATCCTGCACCAGTTCCCCTTTTCCTCCTCCTTGCTGAGAATGTCGGTCATCACCCAGGAACTTGGGAAGGGCGGCCTGGAGCTCTGCATGAAGGGAGCCCCCGAGACGGTGGCCGGCTTTTGCGAAGAGGCGACGGGTAAGCGAAGAAGAACCAGCAGCCTCAGGTCGGGGGGGGGTGTCCCCCCACCCACCCACTAGTCAAGGAACGGGGTTCCTCTTGGCAGACCCACAGGGATCATCTTAGCACCCCTGCAGGCCACGTTTGGGAGTGGAGTTTTAGAGTTGACGATGTGTGTGTGTGTGTGTGTGGCAGCCTTGGAGGGGGGGGGTAGCAGCAGCCCTTAGACTTATATGCCACTTTCCAGCCCTCTCTAAGTGGTTTACAGGAGTCAGGAAGGAAAGAAAGAAGGAAGAGCAACAGCACTTATATATTACTTAATGGTGCTTCAACAGCCTGAGTGGTTTTACAGAGCCAGCCTTCCCCCCACCCCCCCCAATAATCTGGGTCCTCATTTTACCGACCTCAGAAGGACGGAAGACGGAGTCAACCCGGAGCTTCCTCAGGATCGAACTCCTGCCTGTGAACAGAGTCAGCCTGCAGTGCTGCATTCGAACCCCTGGCCCACCAGGCTTCAGCAGTTCCCCTTCACCCCAAACTGCAGCCCCCGCTGGGCCCCCGTCTCTCGACCTCAGCCGCCAGGAGGGAGGAGGCTGTGCCTGGGAGCCCTGCGGGGTGTGTGTGTGTGTGTGTGAAGTCAGGAGAGAGAGAGAAGCGGGGGGGGGGGGGGGGGGGGGCGGGGGGGGGGGTCTCTACGGCCGATGCCTGGCTGAGGAGCAGACCCCAACCTTCCCCCTCTGCGTTCCTGGGAGGCCATTCACACCAGCAGAAGTGGTTGCAAGAAGGGAGTCCTCCTCTCCCTAACGCCCCCCCCCTCCCCTTAACGGCATGTTTTTTATTTATTTATCTGATTTATTTTATTTGGTTTGTAAATTGCTTACAAGATAACAGGTGTAAGTAAAAACATAGTTATGAATACATGGATACAGAAAAGAAACAGAAAAGAAACAATAGGACAGGGACGGTAGGCACATTGGTGCGCTTATGCACACCCCCCCATAGACCTTTGTTGCACGAGATCATGTTCTGCCTTTTTCTTGTGCAGCTGTCTGGGTTGCTTCCTTGGGCAAATGGGAAAGTGTTTTTTTAATTTACTTTATTTATTTATAATTTTTTGGGGCTGCCCATCTTACTGTGGGTGGCTTACAGTCATAAAAAATAAACCCGTACAAAGATAAAGGCCTAAATCAAATAAAATAGCCAAACACAGTGGCCCAATTAAAGGTGGGGAGGGGGGACAGGTTAATCCATCAACCCCCTCCCCCGTTCAGTGGCTTATTCCAGGCAGGTGTGACCTTCCTGAGCTTTCCGGATGCCCCACGGAGGGTCCATTGCTCCATCAGCGGCCTTCCCATCATTGCTGACTGGACCCCACAGCAGCCGGTAGAGTCCGCTCTCTCGGGGGCTGCCTTCCTCCAGCGCCAGTGGGGCCACTTGGCCAGGATCTGAGAAAGGGGGGCTGGACCAGGTCCAGGCCCAGTTTGAGACACCGTGAAGGTTGACAATCCAAGACTGATGGGCCGAACTTCCGGGCACCGATTCCTGCCCGCTTGGTGGGGATGGAGGGAGATTGACAGGCTGCTCCGGGGCAGAGAGTCCAGGCGTGGGTGGGAGACGTAAGGGCCTGTGGCTGTGGATGGTGCAGCTGCTCTGCCTCGCCCGGGGTTGCTGATCCCATCTGAAAGCACGGAGGGGGTCCCAGCACGTTGGGCGACCCCCTTCCCCCCCCTGGCCGCCGCCCCCCCCCCCCCCCCCCAGTTCCGAACATCTTCCAAGCTGAGCTGAGACGCTTCACGGCCCAGGGCTTCCGCGTCATCGGCCTGGCCCACAAGGAGCTCCATCTTCCCCAAGGAGCCGCCTTCAGTGACCTGGAGAGGTGAGCACGCAGAGGGGCAGCTGCAGCCCCCCCTGACCTCTCTGGCAGGGGGGCCCAGGAGGAGCAGGGCAAGGCCCCGCTCTCCGGCTCGTATCCTCCCAGCTTCTCCGGATCGGAGCTCTGTCCAAGGCTTGTCTCCAAGGCAGCTGGAGAGGGAGAGCAGGACCTGGAAGCCGGCCTCTCAGGGTCCAAAGGGGCCTTGGAGGTCTTCCAGCCCAGGAGACCTTGCGGCACCGGGTTCCGGACAAATGGTTGCCCAGCCTCTTCTTGGAGCCCTCCAGGGTGGGTGGGGAGAAGGAAATGCTTGCACATCTCTCAGTCCCAGCACACACCATGCTCCCCCCCCCCCCGGGACACCTACACCTCCCACCCCCTTATATGCTGTATCTATTCCTCTCCCTTGCCACGGTGGGAGCTGAATTTCCTTGCGGTATCTTCAAAGAGAAAGGCCCCCAAACAGGCCCTGCTCCAGGGAGGCCCATGCAGGACAATGAGGACAATGAGCCAGTGGGACGGCTTTTGCCCCCAGAGATTGTGGCTGCTCCATCACGGGAGGCTTTCAAGAAGAGACGGGATGGCCATTTCTCCGAAATGGTAAAGGGTGTCCTGCTTGGGCAAGGGGTTGGACTAGGAGACCTCTGAGGTCCCTTCCAACTCTGCTCTTCTGCACGCTGCCTTCGGTGAGTGGAGGACAACCCTCGTCGCCTCTTCCCTGCCTCTCCTTCTCACAGGGAGGACCTGGAGTCCGGCCTGACCTTCCTGGGCCTGCTGGTCATGGAGAACCGCCTGAAGAGCGAGACCCGGCCGGTCCTGCAGGAGCTCCGCCAGGCCCGCATCCGGAGCGTGATGGTCACAGGTGTGCTGGGAGGGGGAGCCTTCCGCTGGAGGGGTAGCGGGGAGTGGGGGGCTCAGCCCTTGCACAGCAGCTGAGGGGCCCTCCGGGATCGGCCAAGTCACCATCCAGAGTTGTTCTCACTTGCCCCACTTGCCTTCTGGGGCAGGAACTGGGAGAGGCAGCTGGGCTCTGATCAGGTTGCAGGTTTCCCAGGAATCCCCTCCCCCACTCCAGGTGCTGCTTTGAACTGCCCACTAGCCATGACTTCTCTCCTCAGCTCCCAATTCCCCCCCCCCCCCACACACACCCTTTTTCCTTTCCTCCTTTAACAGCTTCGGTTTTATTTTATTTCTTTCTTTTATTTTGTCAAGCGATTAGTTATGAATCCATGAAATGGATGCATATGAGAAAAATAAAAAGAAATAGGACAGGGACGGTAGGCAGGTGGGTGCGCTTATGCACATGTGGTGATCAGTGTGTTTCCTTTTGAGGGCTGCCCCCTCACCTCAGCCTCGCTTGTCCCCAGGCGACAACCTCCAGACGGCCATCACTGTGGCCAAGAGCTCTGGGATGCTTCCCAGCACCAGCCAGGTGGTCCTGGTGGATGCCCAGGAACTGGAGGATTCCTGCCCAGCATCTGTGACTTGGCAGCTGGTGGAGGAGGAGGAGGCACCCTTCATCGTGGGCAAAGACCAGGTAGGGCACCTGCCCAGAGGAGAGGGGGCCCAGGAAGGTGAGCAGGAAGGGCTTGGAAGAAGAGGAGGAGGAGGGCGTTGGTCTGGGCTGTTTGTGGGCCAGGAGAGGGCCAGGCTGGCCACGTTCCTCATCACCTCCTTAGGAGGAGACCGTGTTGGTCCTTCGTAGTTTCATAGATTCAAACTGGAGAATGTCAGGCTCCGAACCCAAGAAAGACCCGTTATGAGCTTTCTAAGCAGATCTTTTTTTTTTTTTTTAATGATTCCTCCCCTCTAGACAGAATCTTGCCAGGCTAAAGCATTCTAACTTTCCCCTAAGCCAAGACAGACTCTGGGGACTGTTAGGGAGGAGCCGTCTTGGCCACTTTCTCCCACACAAATTCTCTGAGTTGTCTCTTGCCCCCCTCCCTCCCTCCTGGGGATCCACCCCATGACTAGATTTCATAACCAGTCCCGCTTTTGGAGGAGGGAGGGGGAGGTGGGTCTGCCCCTATGACATGGTGGGGGGAGGGGAAGACTCGGGCAGCAGCTGGCGAGTTGGACCCGGAGGAAGCGGAGAGCAAGTGTCTTTGGCAATCTTGGGAGAGTTCATTCATCCTTAACTGGCTCAGTCTCGTTTCCTTTGTTTCCATGGAAATCGAAGCCTGTTTCTCGGGACCCCCATATCCCCCTAGAGGAGCCCAGCGCACAAGAGGAGGGCGGCCACTTCCACTTTGTCTTGAGTGGGGCGTCTTACCAGGTGCTGGCCAAGCACTTCAGCAGCCTGCTGCCCAAGGTGAGCAGGGAGGGGGCCCTCCTTGTGGGGGCTCCCTTTCCTTCTTGGTTTGCTCCCCGTCGCTCCCAGGGCCCCCGGCCCCACCTGCCTTCCTGTCCACCCTTTCCGGCCATCCGGGTGACTGTGGCCTCTTTCCTCCCGCAGGTGCTTCTGAACGGGACCGTCTTTGCCCGGATGTCTCCCTCGCAGAAGTCCAACCTCGTGGAAGAGTTCCAGAAACTCGAGTGGGTCCCTCCTCGTGATCCAGGGCAAAGGGGGGAGGGGCTCCCACCTGCCCCCACTGGGGTCCCCTGGCTTAGCTGGCCCTCCGCTTGCAAAGCGCTGCTCCCGATGACCTCTTGGGGACCCTCTTTCCTGACCGGGGCCCCAAAGGGCTGCTGTGAAAGTGTCCGCCGGGACCCAGCCTGCCCTCCTGCCCCAGAAGGAGCCCCCAGTCACAGCAGGGAGGTGCAGGCGAGGGAAGGAAGCGGGGAGGGGGAGCAGGCCGTGTGAAAGCACAGACCTCCTGGGACCCCCAGAAGGGTGGCAGCCCCCTCTTCACTCCGGAGGGAGGGCCTGGGAGGCAGGTGTGGCAGGGAATGCCTGCCGTGGGTGTCTCTGCCCGGAGAGACTAAGTAACCACCTCCTCCTCTTCCTCCTCCTTCCAGTTACTATGTGGGCATGTGTGGGGACGGAGCCAACGACTGTGGGGTAGGTGAAAACTTCAGGGCCTTATTGGGGGAGGGGAGAATGTTCTCACTCAGGTTGCCCCTCCACCTGTCCTGTCCCCCCAAATTGGAGGCATCCGGGCAAAACCAGCCTGCGGAAACTGCCCCCTTTCCAGAGGAGGTTTGGAAGCGCCTCCGCTGCCGACCCCCCAATGCCTCACAGGGGGACCTCTTGTTGTTCCCCAGGCCCTGAAAATGGCCCACGCTGGGATCTCCCTCTCGGAGCAGGAGGCCTCCGTGGCTTCCCCCTTCACCTCCCAAATCCCCAACATCGAGTGTGTGCCAGCCCTGATCAGGTACATGGGGTCGCTGGAGGATCTCCCGTTTGAGCCGAGGGGGGTGGAAGGGAATCCAGGGTCCCCTCCAGCCCTGTGTTTCTATCATCCTGGACATGGGGTTAGACTAGAAGACCTCCAAGGTCCCTCCCAACTCTGCTCTTTGGTTATTCTGTTATTCCCGGGGGGGGGTGTGTCTCTTCCTCCAGAGCTGGCTTGGAGACCCGACTAGCAGAGGAGCCACTGGGTCCCACCCCTTCCTTTCCCGGGTTGCCCTCTGCCTCCCTTCCTCCCTGGGGGGAGTGGGGGGGGGTTGAGCAAGGGGGCTTCTGCTTTCCTCTACTAACCCTCCCCTCCCCTCCTCTTCCGATGCCAGGGAGGGCCGGGCGTCTCTGGTGGCCTCTTTTGCGGTGTTTAAGTACCTGACGCTCTACGGCCTGGTCCAGTTCATTGCTACGGTCCTGCTTTACTGGGTAGGTATGGGCGGTGCTGGGGACGAGCCCCAAGGGGGCGGGGACAGCGGCTCCTAAGCTGGTGAAGGCGAGTCCTCCTCCTCCCTGCAACCCCCCCCTCCCTCCTAGTTGGGTTAGGATAAATGTCTGCAAGGAAACCACCCAGCTCAGAGACTCCCAGAGGGCTGGCCGTTTCCATGCCGGAAAAATACTTGAAATACTTGGAGGTTCCAACTTAAAAGGTTCTGTGAAACACGGTCTTCAGGAGACACTTTTTTTCAGTGCTATTGTAACTTGGAACGGTCAGTATAAGTGAACTGTTGCAAGTCGAGGACTACCGGTATTCACATCGCATTAAGATAAAAACACAGCATACGAAAGACAAAGTCTGAAGGAGTATAAATGTGTGCGTGAATGACCGTTTTTGGCTTCGTTTGTCAGAGTTAAGAAATCGGCCGAGTCCTCCGTTATGGGCACTCTGACCCGATCGGCTCTTCCTCGGCCCCACCGTCCCAATTCCGGGATGGATTTCGCCCCCTGCGGTGGCCCATTTCAGGGCAGGATGGTCCGCATCGCAGGAGGCGGCTGAGATCCCGGGTTTTTTTCCTGAGTTTCAAGGCAAAGGTGGACCTTGGGGGGAGGCACTTTCTCCCCACTGTTGTTCCCGTGTATAGTGCATGTCAGAATCATCTTCTACGAGCACTTTAGCCCTAGGAAGAGTTGGGGTCTCCAGGCAGGCTACGTCAAGCCACCTCGGCAGTTTCCAGGGACATTGGGGGGGTGGTTTGTGTTCTCTGAGCTCTTCTGCTTCTGAGCGTTTCAACCCCAGCCCAGAGAAACACCAGGATGAGGTTACGCAGCCTGGTGACGAAACGCTCGGAAGCCGAACAGGGAGCCGGGGAAAACAGCGCCACCAACATCTCCCAATCTATTTCCCATCATTACCAATAATCTTCAGGGGTTCCCGGAAGGAGGCGGGGCTTTCTCTTACTTCGGGGAGCGGCAGGTGACTCAAAACAGGCGGCCGGTATGTGGGAGTCATTCGAATCTCCCCGTGAACCTCAATGGGAAAAGCCTGCCTGGGGTCTGTTTCTCTTCTAGCAACTGCAGATCCTGGGGAATTACCAGTTCCTGATCCAGGACATTGGCATCACCCTTGTGGTTTGCCTCACAAGTAAGCCGCTCGTCCCCGGGCACATGGGGCTGCCTTCGTGCCAGCTGGGGATCCGGGGAGGTGCCGCCCAAGGCACAGGCAGAGCGGCAGGGCAAAGCAGGAGGGGCTGCCCCTACTCCAGCTGCCCCTTCACACAACGTGCTTGAAACGGGTTTTCTGGGATGGTTGTGGGCGATCTGGATTCAGCCGTGGGTGTAACCGCTGCTGGGTTGGCACAAAATACCCAAACAAGCTGGGCATCTTCTCTGAAACCAACTGCCAGTCTTTGCTCGCACGGTTGTGCCAACCCACCCAGTTGGCATCAAGTTGGCCCTCCCTTGGCCTGGTCTCACCCCACAGAGCCCCGTCAGGAGAGGCAGTGCCAGGGCTGCGTTGCTGGCCTCTCTCTTGGGCACGGGCAGCCCCAGGAGCAGCTCTGCTTGGGCATTAGGCGGCTGGTGGCATCAGGCCCCTCTGCTTCTCGCTCCCCCCTGCCCCCCCGCCTGAAGGAATGTGGGGTAGGAAGCCCCCCCAGCTGGCTCTTCCTTGGTTCCTCTGGCACCTTCTCCCTCTGCCCACCCAGTGAACCTGACCCACGCCTACCCCAAGCTGGCCCCCTACCGGCCCCCCGGACGGCTGCTCTCCCCACCGCTGCTGCTCTCCGTCCTCTTCAACGTGGGCCTGAGCCTCCTGCTCCAGCTCTTCGCCTTCCTCTACGTGAAGCGGCAGGCTTGGTACTCGCAGCTGCGGGGCCACTGGTGAGTGTGCAGACACATCCGCCCACCCGTGGACACCCTCCACACACACACACACACACACAGACACACACACGGGTGTGGGAGGGCCTGGGAGGACCTTCCGATGCAGGGACCTGGCCTGCTGCCCCCCCCCCCGGTCTGGCCTGGCCGGAGGGGCTCACGGGGAGCAGCTGGACGAGCCCACGGGAGGGAGGGTGGAGGGCAGGTGCTCAGGGACCCTCCCTGCCTCCTTCCTTCCAGCGGGTGCCCTTTGGGGAACCAGACCACCTGCCCAGGCAACGGGACGGCCAATGCCACAGCGCAGGGACACCCCGTCCTGAGCTACGAGGCCACCACTCTCTGGCCCCTGGTGACCCTCAGCTGCATCGCTTTTGCCTTCATCTTCTCCAAGGGGAGGCCCTTCCGGAAGCCCCTCTACACCAACTGTAAGCGAGGGGCCCCTCCCTCTCCTCCCCCCCCCGGCTGGCTTGGGGGTGGGGGCGGGCTGGGCAGGAGGGAGGTCACTGTGGAAGGGAGACGGTTCTGTTGGGAGGCCCGGCTGCTCTGGGTGGGTCGCAGGGAAAGAGAGGACGGAGCCGGAGTGAGGAAGGAGAACCAGGCAGGAGGTAGCCAAAGCAACGGGGGGGGGGGGGGGGGGGCCCCACCCCCCCCCCCCCCCCCCACTCGGCCCGGGAGGATGGTGAGGGGGCCCAAGGTTTTCAGGAAGGCATCAGAGTGGGGGGGTTTTCTTGCAGGCGCTTCATGACCAAACTAGGTAACCTCATCAGTCTGCTAATAGCACCGGTGACGTTACCTAAAGGACCCCGCAGTCCTCTTTTCCTCCTCCTCCTCCTCCCATCTACAAACCCTCCCCCTTCTAGCATGGATGGTGTTACCTAGTTGGGTCCTGAAAAGTGTGTGAGAAAATTGCCACGCTCAGAGAGCCCCTGAGGAGCCCCCACTTCAAGCCTGAGCTGCAAAGATTCTCTCCTCTTGGTCTCTGCTTTCAACTGTTTCCGGATTGTGGTTTGACCCACTGACTTAAGGGTGCTAATATGGCCCCCGGGCATTAGACTTCCTATCCTGGGGAGGCCAGTGACCCCCTTTGTTCTTTGAACTCCTCTCGCCCCCCCCATATGGGTCTGATGCCCCACGTAACTGCCCATCCTTCCATGGGGCACCAGGCATTCCGCAGGACTGACAGGACTCCCCCCTCTGCCTTTTCCACCCCCAGATATCTTCTCTGGCCTGCTGTGCCTCCAACTGGGGGTTTCCCTCTTCCTCTTCTTTGCCGACCTTGAGGGGGTCTACCAGAGGATGGAGGTGAGCAGGCAGGGGGCCTGCCAGAGGCCAGTCTTGGGTCACCCCTGCAGGGCAGAACTGGCTTCTCTTGGAGGGAGGAGGGAGGGGGAGCCAGCTAGGCCAACTGACGGGGAGCCTCTCTCGCCCCCTCACAGCTTCTCTGCACCCCGACCATCTGGAGGGTCTACGTGCTGATTATGCTGCTGGTCTTCTTTCTGGTCTCCTCCTTGGTGGAGGTAAGATGCACGTCCCTCCCTCCCAGGGCAAGGATCCGGGGCTGCAGGGCTGGAAGCAGGGGGCTCCTGGGGCTCAGGCAGGGAAGGGCGGGGGTGGGGGGACGACACACTGCAGGGTGGGAGCAGATGGGGCGGGAGACGGACTCTGTGGCCTTTAGCTGGCCCCAAACACTCTTCCCTCCTCCTTGAGTCCCACTGGGGGTCTTGATGGATGATCTCTCTGGCCTCTCTTGCCGTCCTTCCAAACTGGGGGTTGGTTTGTTCCCCTCCCCTTCCCAAGTGGGAGCCTCACTCATCCCCAGAGCATTGCAACGGGGAGGGTCTGCCTTTGCCCTGTTTGGGCTGGTCTCCTTCCCTGTCCGCCCAGCCCTCACCAGGGCAGCAGCCTGGGAGGCAACAAGATGGAAGCCCGCCCCCCACGGGAGGGAGGGAGGCCGCCTGGCCAGGGCTGTGCGCCTCGCTCTTTTGAAGCGGAGAAGCGAGTGGCGGCCGGCACCCCCCCCCAAAAACCTCCCCCCTTCCAGGGCGGGCGGGACTCCGAGCCTTCGCTCCCCTCCCTCCCTCCCCTTCCAGGACGGCGTCCTGCAGAACCGGCGCCTCTGGCTGCGGATCAAGGCGCTCTGCGGCTTCCGCTCGTCCAGCCGGTACCGGGCGCTGCAGCGGCAGCTGGGAAGCGACGCCATGTGGCCCCCGCTGCACGGGCGAGACTTGGCGGGCGACGACGGCAGAAGCAGCAGCCGGGCCTACCTCAACGCGGCCTTCGAGCGGGAGGAGCCCGCGGGCCGCCCGGGAAGCCGCAGCGGGACGGCGAGGGGCGGCTCTGCGCAGCCGGAGGGGAGCAGCAGCCGCCGCGATTCTCCCGCCGAGGCCCGTCGCTGGCCCCGCCGCTCGGAAGGGACCTTTCCCCGCGGGGCTGCTGCGCCCTAGTCGGGGAGGAGGAAAGCCGGGGCCGGCCCTGGAGACCGGAGGGGCCAAGACAAGCGGGGCTCCCCGGCGCCGAAGAAAGCGGAGCCCGCAGCCTCCAGTCTGGGCCCGGATCGGCGCTCGGAAGGAGCAAAGCGCGGGTCGCGGCGGCCACCGGCTCGGGTGGGATCCCGGCCGCCTCGCTTCGCCTCCCTTCCCGAGAGGTTGAGCCTTTTCCCCCGGGCGCCTCCGAGGCGTGGCTGCTGGCGCGCTCCGTGTGCGCAAGGGAAGCGGCGGCGGCGGCGGCGGGCAGGGGCAGCGGGGGAGGCCCGAGGGGGCGTCTCGGGGGGGGGGCAGCGACCCAACTGGGGGAAGATCCACGAGCTGCAGCCACAAGTCATTGCACAAACCATTCGCTTTATTGGGAACGGCCGGAGGGAGCGGCGGGCTCCGGGGCTTCTAGTCGCGCTCAAAGGCGGGGTTGGAGAGGTGGCCGAGGTTGCGGGGAGCCGCCGAGTTCCGCGACCGGCGCGAGGCGCTTCGATTCCTGCCAAGAAAAGGGGGAAAGACCGGCCTTAGAAGGCGGGAGGGGCCCATCGAAGCAGGGTTCTCCCGATGGGGGGGGGGGGCGCGGGGGGGCGGGCTGTTTGGGGGGGGCGGGGGGGGGGGGGGGGGGGGGGGGGGGCTCTTCTGCCCTTCTTTGTGGTGGGGGCTCTTTGGAGGGGCCAAGTGAAAAAATGCTGCCCGACGGAGGCGAACATTTGGGCGATGCATCCTGGGGCTGCTCGGGGGGGGGGCAATAAACAGCCAATGCTCAAAGCCCCCCCCCCCCAGCTCTGCAGAGGTCGGCCTTAGTTGCGGGGCCTTTTCCTATCCTTTGTGGGAGGGCTGGCGCTCTTCTCTGCCCCCCGTCAGCCCCCTTCCCCTTCTGTCTCCACTGCTGGGCGCAGCGCCCACCCGAGGAAAAGACCCTCCCTCCTCCCCGGGGAAGAGCCCGGCCCCCTTGCGCCCCCCGCCCGCCAAGGGTCCGCAGAGCGCTGCTCCGCCAACGCGGCCGCCGCTGTGCTGGGCCGGAGCGACTCACCTGCGCGTGCACGAGCAGGCCAGCACGGAGACCACCACGGCCAGCAGGACGGCGCCGGCCGCCACGCCCAGCGTGATGTAGAGGGGGGTCCGCCAATCCTCTGGAGGGGGAGAGAGAGAAGGGGGCGGTGGGCCCACTCAGCGCGCAAAGCTCGGCTGCTCCGGGCAAAGGTGACATTGGCGGGGAGGGCTCTGGGTTGGGGGCGGTGTGCAAGCCCGGAGACCGGGTCTGTTCGGCCCCCGGGACCCGCTCCCGGCCCCGGAGGGAGCAGGAGGCTCGCTGAAGACTTGGGGGGAGAGGGTCCGCCTTTCCAATAAAGGAGAATCTGTGTACCTCCTGGCTCGTCCTCGCAGCGTTTCCCCTGGTATTTCTCCTGGCATTCGCAGTGGAAGGCCTCGGAGCTGTTGTCCCGCACGCAGGTTCCACCATGCAAGCAAGGGTTGGGCTGGCAGGGGTCGGCTGCCCAGGAAAGGAGAAGGCGGGGTTGGAAACGGGTCGCCTTCCCGGCTGTGGCAGCCCCCAACCCTCCCTCTGGGGTGACAATGGCCACAAGGGTGGTGGGGGGGACTGGCAGAGTTCGGGGCAGCAACGCCTTTGGGCTCCACGGGGCTGCAAAGCCCGGCTGGTCTGGGGCAAACTGGTTTAACAAACCAGCCCAGAAAATGGGTTCATTTGATCACCTCCCCCCCAGTTTCCTGGCCCTGGAGGGAGCAGAAGGCCGGCTAAAGGTTCCTGCCTGGAGGGGCAGCATTCAGCCCTTCGACCAACCTAGGAAATGGATGCCCCCCCCCCCCCCCCCCCCCCCCCCCGCCCACCGCCCCCCCCCCCCCCCCCCCGTCCCCCCAGGAGACCTGAGGGCTGCCTGGAGACCAGGCTGAGAAGCTGTTTTATAGTCTCCAATAAAGGAGGAACTTTGTAGCTTTGTAGTTGAAATGAGGCCTCCTTGGTGGTCTCTGCACTTGGGGGGTTTTCTTGCAGACGTCTCATGACCCAACTAGGGAGCGTCATCAGTGCCAGAAAGGAGGGAGGTTTGCTTTCACCCTACTGCACTGATGATGTTACCTAGCTTGGGTAATGCAACCTCTGCAAGAAAACCACCAAGTTCAGAGAGCCCCGAGAACCCCTCATTTATGCAGCTACCCCTCCTCTCTTCGGGGGCACCAAGAGAACAGCCAGCACCCACGTAGGAGGGCTTAAAAACGTGGGCCTGATGTTCTCTGCTCTGGAGTGGAAACCATGTCTGGGATGGCCAAGAGGCCTGTGTGACACACTAAGCAAAGCCCTGGGTGGTGTGTGTGTGTGTCTGTGTGTATTTACCTCCTGGTGTGACTTGTATCTCACAGAGTAATCCTTCGTAATTCTCCGGACATTCACAGTGGAAAATATCTGGGCTCTCATCCAACACGCAGGTCCCATTGTTGAAGCACGAATTTGGCTGGCAGGGGTCGGCTGCAGCAGGAAGGAGAAACATGGTGGGGGGGGGGGGATGGATGGAAATGGGTCGCCTTCCCGGCTGTGGCAGCCCCCAACCCTCAGGCCGGGGTGACAGTGGCTACAAGGGGCCGGTGTCCCTTTTGGACACAAAGCACCGGCCCTTCGACTTATATACCGCTTCACAGTGCATTGACAGCCCTCTAAGCAGTTTAAAGGGTCAGCCTCTTTCCCCCAACCATCTGGGTCCTCATTTTACGCCGGGATGGAAGGGCGAGTCAACCTTGAGCAGGTCAGGATCGAACCTCTGGCAGTGGGCAGAGTTTGCCTGCAAGGCTGCATTTCAACCACTGCACCACATACCACAGGGCTGGGGAGAGCCCGCCTGCCCGCCTGCAGCTCAGCAGTTGGCCCCCCCCCCCGGCCTCCCCCCCCCCCCCCAGGAACACTCACCACGATAGCAGCCCCGGGTGAAGTTGAAGATCCCACAGCGATGGTCCCGGGGGCAGCTGGCCTCCCTGCAGGAGAGGCTGGAGCTGTCCCTGCAGACGCAGTTTTGGCTGCAGTCATCGGCCATAAAGCGTTCGCCGGCCTGGTCGAGAAAGGGGGAGCAGGGGATGAACCGGGACTCCCGGCCCCTTCGCCCCCAGTGGCACCCCGACGGAGGCACACGTCCAACTGGACCAGCAGTGGGGCTGAGGGCCGGTTTCAGCTCGGCCTACTTGTGACCGCGAAGGAGAAGAGCCCTCCCCCCCCCCGCTCTGGGCCATTGGGAGGGAGGGTCTCCTCTGTGCGAAGGTCTGCTTTGGCTGAGGGTTCTGTGGTCAGGATAAGGAGGAGTAGAAATAGCCTGCCATATTTTTTCGGTTTTTTTTTTTTTTGATGTATTGAGGCCTTGCTTCCCTGGGGTCGAAAGCAGGAGGGCTGCGGTGGGGACCTGGAGGCAGAGCTCTGGCCTCACAATCGGGGGGCGGGGAGTTTGATCCTGGGTAGAGGCGGGTGTTTTTCTCTCTGGGTGCACCGAGAAAGTATCTGCTGAACAAACCTCCTCATTGGGGACAGGAAGGGCATCCGGCCAGTAAACACACCGCTAGCTCCATTCAGTGGCCCAGATTCCACTCCGCAGGGGATTAGGGGGTTGTTAAAAGACGATGATAACCAGTGTTGAAAGCACTAAGGTGCTTCCGGGTTGAAAAGCTTAGCTGGCGACATGATCGTTGCCTGCCCATTTGGGGGCTCCTTTCGGCTCCCTCTGCCCCCTCTGGCAGCCCTTGGGTCTCGATTGTGGCCTGGCTAACCTCCAACCCAGCATCCTAACCACGTGAGCCCCCTGCTCCCCATGTCTGGGTAAGGCCCAAGGAAGGGGTGTGCCTGATCGTTTCCAAATTCACGCCTCGGATTTTGAGCATCCCTGAGTGTAAAAACAGGCATTTGCTTCTGTCCATCCCCAGTTCAGGTCTGGGGGGGGGGAGACCCTGGGAGTGGACCCTCTAATGGGGGGGAGGGGGTGGGGGAGGCGGGCCCCCCCCCCCTACCTTATAGTATTTGCCCAAGAAGCTGCAGCCGCAGTCCCGGAAGGGCACGCAGTCGTAGCCGCTGAGGACGTAGCCCGGTTCGCACTCGCAGCCTTCCAGGCAGGGGGAGCTGCAGCTGGCAGGGGCCGCCAGGTCCGAGCAGGACGGGGGACAGGCCGACATGCAGGGGTTGTAGCGGCTGTGGGGCGGGCACTGGAGACCTGCGGAGGGAGCAGAGACGCGCTGCCTGGTCTGGGCCCTCCTCCCACCCTGGGGAGCCCAGCCCCCCCCCGCCCCACGAGGGGGCCCTCAGCACCCTGGGAGGGTTGGGCCAGGGGATCCCGCTGGCTTCAGGCCCAGAGGCCGAGCCTTCCTCCCAGGGGCACCCCAGAAGGAGGAGGAAGCTGCTGCTCACCGCAGCCGGTCGCTGCCCTCCAGTCGGCCAGCGAGACGTTCTTGCCCTGGCAGAGGCTGGCGTACTGGTCCAGGATGGGGCATAGGCTGGTGGTCCGGTTGGCTTCTCTGCACATGTCGAACACGCAGCTCCTGCAGCGGAAGAGAAGCCGAAGGGAGGTTGCAAAGGGGAGAAAGTTAGCACCCACCCCTCCCCCAGAAGAAGAAGGGGGGGGGCGAGGGGCACGATCCGCTCCTCCTGCTCTTCCTCTCCAGCCCGTAAGTGGGCAGACCCTCCCCTCAAAAAGCCTCCCGGCCCCACGGGGGATGCGGTGGGCTGGGAGAAGAAAGCAGCACTCACGTCACGAAGGGGCCGGGGGCCTCGTGGGCCAAGCAGCCTTGGAAGGGGCCCTCGGGGTCCGCCAGGACGCCGCAGACGGAGCGGCCGCTGAACACCTTCATGTCCTCTTCGGAGCAAAGGGGCGAAAATCCCACGTCCAGCTCAGCCTCCTCCAGGGCTTCTTCGGCAACGATGGCGTCTCGCCTGGGGGGGGGGGGGAAAGGGGGGGCAGGGACCCTCGGAGGAAGGGGACGCGGCCCGC